TGACCTCTTGCGTTTGACGTTGTTGTATACAACCCATTTTTCGTCCCCAGTGATGATGCGCTTCAAAAACGGATCATTTTCGTGACGTTTGAGAAGCGAATCGCAGACGTCAATGCGGCGACACAGATTTCTCTCTGTGAGAACATGGGGAACCCATACATCGAGCTTCGAGGATAATCCCAGGCCTTTCAAGTGGTCATAAACTGTTGAATTTGATAAATTTAACCTCAATCCGATCTCACGTGTTGTTATTCGCCGGTTCACATCAACTAATGCCTTTATCGCGTCTTTATCAGCTTCAACCGGCCTTCCCGAACGTGGTGCATCTTCGACATCAAAATTGCCGGATCGAAATTTAGCGAACCAGTTCTGGCACTGGCGTACTGTCAACACACCTTCTCCATACACATCAGTCAATTTCTTTCTGGCTTGAACAGCATTTTTACCCTTTCTGTAGTAAAACAGTAAGATATGTCGAAAATGCTGCTTATCGCTCTCCATATTTAAAAGGGCACCAACCAAAAACTACTGCGTAGAATTAATTGGAATTTTTCAGACACAAGCCTTGCTATATGAGCTCTCAAAGCATATAAAAATTATACGGCTTAAATGTGAAGTTGGGTGCAAAAGAATACAATTAAGTCCTCTGTCGGGAAAAAACGAAATGACTTTCCGAACAACCCTATAGATCTACTTCCCCTCTTCTTAACTCCTGTTTCTGCCTCCTCTAACTAGACCTTCATGCCTAAGATCCTCTATCCACGGTATCACCACATTTCGAATTCTTCTAACTTTTTCTTTTCCACCACGCCCAACGTCCATGTTTCGCATCCGTACAGCGCCGCGCTCCAAACATACACCTTTAACAATCTCTTTCGAGTCTAAGTTTCGCCTCTATTGCAAGGTATCTTCAGGGTTACGTTTCTAAGTTATAAGACCTGAAAGTCCAAGGTCTTATAGCTTAGAAACTTAACCCTGAAGGTGTCTTGTAATTGAGGCGAAATGTAGGTTGTTGGTCTCGTATAAATAAAAAAACCTTTGCCCCATATTTAGCTTGATTTCCTACTTAATACAATACAATTTTGGGGAAGAAATGGCAAGTTCAAATTTTAACCCAGTGTCGTTGACACTTATAAAAAAATTAAGTGTGTCACAAGACACACAACCTATGAAAAGCTTCGTATAAATAAACAGCTAAGTAGTACAGTAATCGTCTACCTTCCATTACCTAATTACTACTCATTTTCTTAACCTTCCACTACTGACGTGGTCCCTTCATACCCCACTTAAATTTTAATGTGACTTTACTGAGTACATACCTTTTCTATGAATCCTGCAACCCCATCTACCTTTAAGTTATGTCAGCATTATTTGCTAGTTTACGTTTGGTGCTATTGTTGTATTCTAAAGTTTTCCTGGGGTCCCTGTGGAACCACGTCAGTTTTTGCCAATGAAGATGACCATCAAGAAACTTTACTAAGGTGGTACAAATGAAAGCGAAGTTAGTGACTTTAAAGAACTGGTACTTGGGGTCAAATTGGCACCCCGTCAGTAGTTGTGTTCAAACATTTGCACGTTAGTAGTAGAAGGTTATTCCAGCTACTTGCCATGAACGTCATTACAAACTTGAAACTCTACCATCTTATCTTATTTATTCTTACTTGTAAACCACTCTAAATTTTTGTTATCATCATCATCATAATCGTGAGTTGTCAGCCCCAAGACTGATTGAACACGCACCTCCACCCCTTCCTATTCTGGGCTAATCTTCGCATTTCCCTAACACTAGAACATTCCACGTCTTTAGCTATTTGTGAACAGTAATCTAATCTAGATCTACCTCTCCTCCTTTTAGCTCCAGTTTCTGCTTCTAATACGTCTCTAAGTAGCCCTTCGTGCCTGAGAAGGTGTCCTACCAACCATCTCCTTCTCTTTGTAATACTTTCCCATTTTTAACCTTCTCGATCCACAGTATCCTCATTATTCGCCTGTATCACTACATTTCGAACGCTTGTAACCTTTTGTTTTCCGCCACGCCTACCGTCCACATTTCGCACCCGTACAGGGCCTCAAAATTAGCCTTTTGCGAGCGTAGAAGTGATTTCTTTTTGTTAAAAGCGAGAAGCGCCCTATATATTGATGTAAGGTGTTCTTAAAAGATAAACTGATGTTCCGTTAGTGGGAAGAAGAAAGTTTAATAGGATTCATATATTCGTTTGAGAATGAGATACCCACGTGGATACGCTCACTTTCACATAGTGTAAATATTCCCGAAGCAACTCGTGAATAATTCAGTTGCAATTTTTTATTCGCAGCAAGGGTTTACGGTTTAAATATCCCCCAAACTACACATTTACTACTGTTTTCTTTTATTCATTTCCTTTTTATTATGCCAGTTTCGAAGCTTTTTATTTATTTTGCTTTTTTCGTTGTTTAAAGTCTCACTTTTATTAGCCCCCACTACATATATATATTTATTCAGATTTTTAACGACATCATCTCGATAAACTTAGCGCCATTGCCGTTTATTACATTTGTAATTTCGTCCGTGTATCTTAACTGCTTTCGTTATGCTATCCCGTTAAAAATTCGAATCATAATTTGAATGTGCGCGGAATTCCAGATTAAATTCGTAAATATTTTAATCCCGAACGAAGCAGAACGGGTTATAAAAGCCTCGAAAATAAGATAAATCGTAAAACGATTCGTGTTAAGAATAATAACATTTTTTTTTAATTCATTGCATAAAATGTAATGTAATAGTTACAGACAAAATTATGTTTCCTTCAATGATATTGCACACGAGCTGTATCTACACGTTTGACGCAACTAAAATGTGAACGTAACGATTTCCAAATATGAACTGCTTTCAAACAAATTAACGTTCTAATTGCTGCAAGTAACATTTTCGTGTCATTTCAAATACATGATTTCAGTGTTTGTGTTGTGAAAAATTGAAAAATTTTCCCAGTAAAACTGTTTAAATAGCGAAATCAATAATTCATTTGCATTCTAAAAAGAAAATTAGCAATACAAATCACTAATAATGTTAATTTATTAGGGACTCCTTAGAAATTTTCTTCTAATTATTACTTAAAATTAAGCAAGTGTCACCTCTACCGGCAACGGTTCCTGCAAATTCATAAAATTTTGCACCATGAGTAGAAACTCAAGTAGAAAATATCGGACATAACGACAGGGCCTTACCTCGACCAGTAGTGGGAAACCAAGCTTAGATTTGTTAACACTTGCCCAAAATTCGGTTTATTAACGTTTTGGCAAGTATGGTCATATATACTGGGTTTCTCAATATTGGATCAAACTTCGAGTTCAGACATATAAACGTTTCGCCAAGCTATATCCAAAACAGGACAAGAAGTATGACCGATCTTGAATTAATTTTGTTCAGCAAGTCTTAACACAATATTAACTATCCAATTTTGGGTTGATTGGATAAATACTGCCTGCCCAATTTCGGGCTAATATTGTTCATCAAGTCCTAGGATAATATTGGCTTCCCAATCTTGCTTAATATTGACCACGAAGTCTTGGTTCACCACTGGCTGTTCAGTCATGGACCAATGAAACCTGGCCATGCTTGAGTCGAAATGATAAACCAGGCATTTGTCATGGTTGATTCAATATTGCAAATAATTTAATTGATGTAAAATCAACATCAATCATGAAATATTATACTGAAAATTCAATTTCTGAATTAATGAGGGAAAAATTGTTGGTGTTGTCACACCCCCGCCGGGAATCGAACCCGCACCAATGTTCTGACCACCAAACTACGAGAAGCCAAAAGTTCCGGGTTCGATTCCTGGCGGGGGTATGACAACAGCAACAATTTTTACCTCATTAATTTGAGGTAGCGTGTAGTGGGTAAAAAATTCAGAAATTGAATTTTTAGTATAATATTTCATATTAAACTAAATCACTTCTAAAAAGATGTCTAAATTGTATGCATGTTCAACATCAATCATTTTATACAAAAATATTTACAACCCCATTTTGTTTCTGATCTTTTAGACATTGTATTAGAAAGAAATGGAATCCATTGTTTCTTTAGGTTTGGGTTCATCTAATAAGTGAAGTTTTTCGAATCGTTTTCTAAAAATTTTGGATTATACGCATTTATAAGAACACCACAATATCTTGTAGTTTTCTGTTTTACACAGCTGGCGTATATCAATTCGATATTGTTGATATCAATTTTGAACTTCAAAATTTCATGAACCATGACGTTGAACCCGGAAAAAAATATCGATCCAGTATTTTAGATTACCCATTTCCAAAGAGTTAAGAATTTTTTGGGCTCTCTTCAGTTACAGAATTAGAAGGCATTCATGGAATGCCCATTTTTTCCCTTGTTAAGCTTCTAATAGTTTCAATGGCCAATGTGAGCAACTTTCATTCATCATTTTGTGTAATGTTTGATCAGTGATACCAGCAAAACTTTTAACGGTTTAAATTTAGAAAATATGTTTAGAGAAGTATTTCAAATAAAATACAAAATACCTTTTCTCAAAAAATTATTTAAATGCAAGACAAAAATAGGTATTTTTTATTTTGTATTTTCATTTTAAATGCAAGTATTTTAAATAAATCACATCCCTGTTCATCAGTCAGGATGTAATGTGATCATCGAGTGTGTAATTAAAAATAAACAATCCTACACATTACCATACTCTCTTTTAGATTGCTTGCAAAATAATAAAAATTATGACAATTTAGTAACTCTGGTTCTTTAGTGAGATATTAAAACTGTACTGACGAAAGATGATCGTACCTAATAATAAAGGATTAAAGTTTCTCACGAATAAATATGTATAACATAGTAATTAATTTATGGCCTTATGATTTCTTCATTTTCTATCTCCTGTTCTGACTTATTCGAAGCAAAGTCCTTAATATAATTGCAATTCCATAATTTCGCGCGATTTCTCGTTTTAAACGATTTTACATTTCGATTTGTTTATTTTCCGTTGCAGCGTCGGCTCCAGAGCCGCGACAGTGTCCTTACATGGGAAAATTCTCAATTAACAACGTCCTCGAAGCGACCAGCCAACAGTTACGTCCTTTCAAGCACACTAACGGAAACAATCACCAACAATCACGTCGCCTGCACACTAGAAAACTTCACGGTGACTTAGATCATTACCGTGCTAAAAGAACGAAAGGGGTCGACCAATTTTCCGACTGCGATAACACAGCGTTTACCCTACTTGCAGTGGGTTGCAGTTCACCCGATACAATGGAATTCCATCCACCGTGCTTTTCACCTGATGTCACCTCCTGTAAGTAACGTTAACACATTCTTTTAAAACCGGTGGCGTATAGATGTAGTATCAGCATTTAAAACTATGAGTATAAATTATTTTAAATTATTACCACAATAACCTTCTAATAATAATTAATAAATCATCAAATCTACCTTATTATGTATGGCTAACAAAAGTGAGGGGAGAATCATTATGATGAGTGAAGACGGAAGGCGCGACTGAAAACGTACCCTGCGCGTCGTCCGCTTCACCACCCTATCTCACCTTTTTTCTTATTGTTTCGACTAGCGCCCTATTATCATTGACTGATTGCCCCTAACCTACTGATTTCTCACTAATTACACGATTGTTAAATGATCATCTAATCGAGTGGTCGATGTTAGTATTTAATGTTAGTTACAAACTTAATGATTGTGATTTCGAGATTATTAGCTCTCATCAGCATGCTACAGATACTTTCAACAAATAGCCTGCTTAACTGTTGATCTGTACAAGTAAATTGATTAGCATCAAGCAACGGGCAGTGTATAAATTGCTACCAACTGTATAGTGTTGTATAGTGTTTAATAAGTAGACCGCTTTATATCTAATATCGATAAATCCCACCCCATTTCACCCATTTTCCTTTCAAATCCATCTCGGGTCAATTCCAAGTAACTTTCCATTTCATTAATTATTTCTTACTCGCTATCATTACTTCAGTTATTATTGTTTTCCTCCTTTTTCTGTCTATCCTACCTAGTATATTTCTTATCCCACCTTATCATATTTTTAAAGTCTTACTGAATTTTTCCTGTGTCATAGACAACCAACATCACGCTGTCTTATACTGTTTTGCAGAAGTGTAGTGCCTCAATTAAATTGGTTAATGGTTAATGAAGCACTTCTTCAGTTTTTCGCAAATGTCTGTTTGACGCCAATACATAAAAAAGCATCAAAAAATCATTTCGGTCAGTTTTGTAAAATGTAAACAAAAAACTTTTCTTTCGGTTTTAGTGCAATTAAAACATTAAAGCTCAAAATTAGAGGAAATATTTATTTATAAATACTGAAACCACAGTTATTTTTTGTTTCGGAAATGGCATTTTAACAATATCCATGAATTAGATTAGATGTCAATATCAACATTATCTTAAAGTCTTCAGTCCGAATATTAATGATTTTACACGTACCTCCAGTTCTTCTTAACTTGAGTCAATCTCAATACATTTCTCGAAGATTAGAAAAACTTTAAAACTTTTGGGTGTTTCATTCCCACCAGCAGGTAACGTTGGTGGGCGGGCAGTCCCCCCGACTACGCCGGAAGGTAGGGCGGAAGGCCCTATTCCGCCTTCTTTTAGGAATCGTGAGCATGGGTGGGTGGTGGTTCGGATGAGAAAGATGATTCGGACGAAATAAAGGTAGAAGAGAATGAAAGATTATCTGTGGAATATTACTGCCCCAGCATTTGCCAAAGTGATTTAAGAAAACCATAGAAAAACTTGGACCAAGGTAAACGGACCCGGAATCGAACCGTCGTCCTCCCGAATGTTAAGCAGTGGTCTAAACCTCTAGGTTATCTATTTATTTATGAGCAGTAATTTAATCTAGCTCTCCCTCAGTTCCTCTTGACTCCTATTTCTCTATTTCTGTCTGTAATATGTATCTGACTAGCCCTTTTTGTCTAATATGGTGTCCTATCTCGCCTGTTTCTTATTAGAAGGTAGAATGGAACAGCATCTTTAAAACCAGGAGTAAAAAAGAGCAGTCGGGGACCTAGATCAGACCACAAATACTTAGAGATATGGAATATTGTAGTTACAGGAAATGTGAAGATTGACTCAAAATAAGTAAGATTTTTGTTATAATAGATTGTGGTCTTTAGGAGTATTTACCTGCACTTATAAAACTTAATTGATGATATTAATTAAAAACTTTTGTCTTTATTCAAATAATTGTTTAAATCGACAAACGCTTCCACCGTCATGTTAATTTTATCGATATAATTGTTTAATCCATCCAGAAGTATGAGTAATAATTGATTGAACGTGCTTTCGATTCACAATAATCGATTTTACGATCGACTTATACAATTAACTTTCCTTGTTTTCCCACTTGTGTAATCTGTATTAGTAATTGTATATAACTGCTTTAATTGAATTTATACTTTACTACGGTTTACATTTCAAATTACACAATAGGAACTAAAATCAAAACATTTCTGCAAGAGAAATAAAAACTAGTCACGTTAATGAATATAAAACGTGATTTTACTGGCTTATTTTTTTAGATATATCATAGATTCTTTTTAAATATATCATACTTTTATTGTGACATTTTTTTTTATTGTGTTGAAAATGAAAGAAAATTTTCTGACTAACCGACTAACTCATTGATGCACATTTGATTACACTAATAAATCTATGCAGGTGCCAGTTAGTAACAAATGTACTTATTTAGTTTCAAGTCGGTTGTTTAGAACAATGACATCCTTTTAACAAAACATACTATTGAAAAGGTTGAAACGTGCAAGTCATTGTTTCGAAAAGTGTACTTTTTTTAAACAAATGATAGGTGATAGTGAGATTTCAGAGATTATTTGAAGATTTCCTGTTATTAGCAATTAAAAATATCTGGAAATGCAGTTGTTTGTAAAAAAATTAAATAGAATGATTGAGATTTGTATATTTTGTATACTTTATTGAATTCAAATGTAGCCCTTTTAACTATGAGAAAAGCAATTAAGTTCTCATTAAGTGCTAATTAAGGTCCTAATGAGAAATTAAATGCTCCGTGCATTTTTTTTAAATTTACTGTTCTGCTAACTTAATATTAAGCTTATCCTTTAAACAGTATATGACTAAAACGGCGATTTTCCTTATTGAAACCTGTTTTCGGTCCCTTATATGTCAACGTTGTTGACTTTGTACTTTCTAGTTAAAGGTCTTCTTTTCAATTCTAAGTTTAAATTTCTAATTAAAGCTCCTAGGATTCCCTCTTTGTTAACACCAATATAGCTATATAATAGATATCTAATTACATATCTAATAAATATCCTTAAAAAAACCGCTAGATCCTTACGGAAAATGGTGAAATAAAACTTTGGATTATGGTAATTCTCGACGTGTAGATCAAAAATCTTAATGGGTGTTAAGTTTTAAAAACTCATCTTTTTGAGATATGATCCCTTACAATTGCATTTTTTCGTAAGGACTTTTATCATCATCAGTCCGCCAGTCTTAAGACTGGTTGGACACGCACCTCCACTCTTTCCTATCCTGAGCTAACCTTTGCATTTCCCTAAAACTAGAACATCCCACATCCTTTACTATTTGTGAACAGTAATCTAATCTGGATCTACCTCTACCCCTCTTAACTTCCGTTTCTGTCTCTATTATGTCTCTAACTACCAACCTATCTCGCCTATTTCTTATTGACTTCATAGAGTCGTCTGTTCTCATATTCTTTCTAATACTTCTGCATTTCTAGCCTTCTCTATCCACGGTATCCTCATCATTCGTCTGTAACACCATAATTCGAAAGCTTCTAACCTTTTCTTTTCCGCCGCGTCCATAGTCCATGTTTCGCACCCGTACAGCACCGCGCTCCACATACACCTTTAACAATTTTTTTTAAGGATTTCCAAGGTACAATTATTCCCATTATATGTACTGAATACGTTCAAGTATATATGCATATGTTTATGTGTTATAACTTATCCAAAGTTTAAACAGTTTGATTTCTGTTTTATTTCTATGTATAAATCGCTAAATGTTCCCTTCTTGTTGTACTTCAAGGATTTCGCAGATTCCACACGAAAGCTTAAAAATTACATCGAAAACAAGTAGGAAGATTTCTAATAAGCAAAATTAGACAGTTGTGCGATAAGTATGTGGAACCCGTGACAATTTGTGCTCCTGTTTGTTCACTCGACTGAACAGGAAATTGACTGACTTGACAGTATTATGTATATATACGTATGTACGATACATATTTATATACGTCTGTGTATATAAGAATGTAAGTGTGTACGTATGTACATAAGCGCGTGGACGTTTCACCTGAACTTCCGAAAGTTAAAGGGCGCTGACAAGCCAGAAACTGAATAATTGATGATTCAGCGAAAAACGTCGCAAAATGAACATGAAGTTGTAAACAATTTTTCTGCTTTCCCTCACATTTTTTGACATCACCTTGACTGCCATCATCGTCCCCCTTTTTTAAGCTTATCGAACGACTAAATTTTTAACTCCTCTTGGAAGAGGTCAAACCTCACTTAACGTCTCTACCTGCTACATTATTCTAACGAAAATGAAAAAATGATAGTGTACAATATGTCGGTGTCTGTCACCAAAGAAGTGGTCTCATTAATAAACAATCGCGCCTTAGTTTTTATCAGTTACAAATGTCACCGTATGGTTGATGATGACGTTTGAAAAGGGTATTCTTCTATTTCATAAGCTTAGTTGTTAGCAATATTCAAATTAAATTAATGAATACGTACTTGTTTCAACATGTCGGCGATACCACCGGCCTGTACCGCGTTTTCCAAGATGTCGCCGCTATAAAATTGCATTAAGCGAATAACGCATGTACACAATCGCGACCGCGACCGCATTCGCTATGATAGTGGCGATCAGATCCATCTATTGAATTTAAATTAATTGACCCATACTTATTAATTTGGAAATTCGAAAAAGATTATTAAAGGCGCTGTACGGATGCGAAACACGGACGATGGGCGCGGCGGAAAAGAAAAGGTTAGAAGCGTTCTATATGTGGTGTTACAGGCGAATGATGAGGATACCGTGGATAGAGAAGGAAAAATTATTAGAAAGAATATGAGAACAGAGGACTGTATGGAGTCAATAAGAATTTGGCGAGATAATTTGGTAGGAAACCTTCTCAGACATGAAGGTCTAGTCAGAGACATATGAGCGGCAGAAACGGAAGTTAGGAGGGGTAGAGGTAAACCTAGATTAGATAATTGCTGGCAAATAGTTAAGGATGTGGGAAAATGCGAAGATTAGCTCAGG